AAGCTGGTAAGATGAATACAGAACTGGCTTCTCATAGAAGACAGAGGAGCAGTGCAAGGGTATTATTCTGCCTGGAGATCTGTAACCATTGGTGGTCTGCAGAGGCCAGTGCTGGGACTTCATATTTTATCAATGATTTGAAGGAGATTGAAGGCGGCCTGATTAATAAGGTCACAGATGACACAAAGATTAGGGTGTTGCAGATAGTGAGGAGGTTTGCCAGAGGATGCAGCAGGGTATGGAACGGCTGGAGATTTGGGGAGAGAAACGGCAGATAGAGTTTAATCCAGATAAAAACGCAAGGTGATGTATTTTGGAAGATCTGATACAGAAAATAGCAGAACCCTTGGTAACATCAACATACAGAGGGATCTAGGCCTACAGCTCCACAGTGCCTGAAAGTGGCTACGCAAGTTGATAGGTGGTCAAGAAGGCATACGGCATGCTTGCCTTCATTGGTTGGAGCATTGAGTATAAAAATTGGTAAGTCATGTTGCAGCTGTATAGAATTTTAGTTGAGCCACATTTGAAATATTGTATACAGTTCTAGTCGCCACATTACCAGAAGCATATGCAGGCTTTTGACATGTAAGACAAATGCTTGACCAGGATGTTGCTTGGTTTGGAGGGTATTAGCTATGAGGAGAGATTAGACAAAGTTGGTCTGTTTTCACTTGAATGTCAGAGGATGAGAGGATGACCTGATAGAAGTTTACGAAATTATGAATGGATAGTCAGAGACCTTTTCCCAGAGTAGAAATATCCACTACTAGGGGACGTAGATTTAAGGTAAAAAGGGGAAAAGTTAAAGGAGATGTGAGAAGCAAGTATTTTGCAGAGGGTGGGAAGTACCTGGAATGCGCTGCAAGAAGAGGTGGTGGAGATGGATACAACAGCAATGTTTAAGATGCACCTTGACAGATATATGAATAGGCAGGGATTAGAGGGGAGCAGACTGTGTAGAGGCAGAAGGTCTTTAGAAAGGCATCATATGTCAACACTGTCTTGGTGGGCCAAAGAGCCTGTTCCTGTGCTATACTATTCTTTGTTCTTTATATTTGAGCCTGCAGCTCAATTGTTCCTTATAAATTGGAGATTATATTATAGTAACCTGCTGAGACACGTTTGCAGGATGTTCAGGGTTGGAAAATAAATATAGCATGATAGCAGAGAAGGTGGAGTAGCCTCACTGATTAGAGAGAAAATTACTTCAATTATGTGGGGGGTTATAATGAAGGAATAGCATTCAGTGGAGACTGGCTGGGACTAAGGGACAGTAAAGGATCTAAAACTGTTATAGGTAATGTGTACAGTCCCTCTGGTAGGAGCTCTGAAGGGCTAGATTGTATAAGTACCAGCATAATATTAACGGGGGGTTTAAACTTGAACATGGATTAGTAGGGGCAGACAAGTGCTTGTCAGAAAGGTGGTGAATTTCTGAAGTGTGCCCAGAATAGTTTCCTACAGCAAAATGCCCTGTATGCAACAAGGGTGCAAGCTATATTGGATTTAGTAATGAGCAATGAGCAATGAGCTGGATTTAATTAGCAACCTAATTATGCGTGAACATTTATCAAATAGTGATCATAACTTGACTGACTTCAGTGTAGCATTTGAAAGCAAAAAGCATGAGCCAACTACCAGAGTTTTAGACTTGGGTATGGCTGAATTTAATGAGATGACAAAGAGATTGTCCACAGTAAATTGGGAAAACTTACTAATGGGTAAAACAAGGAGGGTTTTCTTGTGTTCCTGCCTCCTAGAGGCCTGGGTTCAAGTTCCATCTGCTCCAGCGCTGTGTAATAACATCTCTGACCAGGTTGATTTGAAAAAAGGTTAATTTTTTTAAAAAACACAATACAGAATTCAATTTATACCCAAGAAGGAAAAGCTGCTCTTCACAAAAAAAACAGCCAGGGACAACTAAAAAGATAAGCAACAGAAGAAAACTAAATGAAAAGGGCTTATAAAAATGCAAAAAAAAAAAGAAGCATACAGTCATAGACATCTATTATGTGGAAACAGGCCCTTTGGCCCAATTTGGCCTTGCTGTCCAGTTTTCACAATTAAACTGGACCCTTTTGCCTGCATTTGGCTCTGCAGAATTCTGCTCATCAACTGTGCCACACCTTGTATTTACATGAGTAAAAACTGATGCTGAGAATTGTGAAGCTCGTGACAGGAAGTATAGGAAAGGCACAAAGACCAACAAAGGGCTACAAAGCAGCTTATAAGAGCTCCCAAAAGGAAAACTTGACAGGGACATCAAAATCAATCCGAAGTAATTTTGGTTATATAAATGGAAAGCAGGTAGTCAGAAGCAACATTGACCCTCTAGACTGAAAGTGAGGATATTGTCAATGCCTATGGGGGGGAAATGTCAGACATGTTCAGTAATTACTTTGTTTGTATTTACAGTAGAGAAGGAGGAAAGCTTGCCAGCATTCTCAAGGGAATTATTAGTGCATAGTGAACAGGGACTGAATAAAGTTAACGAGTAAAACATTGTGGGGTGGAGGGTTGGTTATCTGGATGGAATGCTATTTGGTGCAAACTCGATGGGCCAAATGGCATCTATCTGCATGGTAGGGGTCTATGATTGTCTAACTGGAGGGCAAATTACTAACATGGCTGGGAAATTGTTTGGTAGGTGGGTATGTACTCAAATTGTCAGGATGCGACCAGTGGTGTGTCTCAGATCTGTGTAGAAGTCTCAATCATTCCTATTCATTATTAAAAGACTTTGATAATAGTTTAGAAAGGCATTCAAATTTGCTGATGACACAAAGGCGGCATTGTAGACAGTGTAGATGATAGGATAAAATTGCAAAAGGATGTTGATAGACTAAGAGAATGGGCAAAACTGTGGCAGATGGAGTTTAATGTAAGCAATTGAGAGGTTATCCCTTTTAAAATAAAAAAGGATAGATCAGGGGATGAAGTTAAATACAGTGGATGTCCAAAGACATCCTGTGGGCTCAGGTGTTTAGATCTTCAAAATGTCACAAACAGCTGCAGGGGAAAAAAAAATTAAGAAAACTAATGGAAAGAAAACTAAAACAGAAATTACTGGAAACAACTCCGTAGATTTCTGAAGAAGGGTCCAGACCCGAAACGTCAGCTTTCCTGCTCCTCTGCTGCCTGGCCTGCTGTGTTCATCTAGCTCCACACCTTGTTATCTCAGTAGGTCGGACAGTGTCTGTGGAGAGAAATCCGGCTTAACGTTTCAGGTTGGGAAACCCTTCAGAATGGATGGTAGCTAGATAAAGGTTGGTGGTCCTTGAGTTCAACAAGTTTAGGTCTTGAGGTTATGTCCTGACGCTGAACCCTACACTAGGCCTGCTATCACACACAACCTATTTGCCAGCTACTAGTAGCTCCTAGTAGCAGCTGTCCATTCCCCAAGACTGACCTTTAACCACTACTTTGTCTATTCAGTCATTTTTCTCTCTCTGGGCTCTATCTGCACCTGTTGACTCTCTCCCTTCCCCTGTCGTTGCGGCTTCCCCCCCCCCCCCCCCCCAGCCAATCGTTTGCATAAATACCAAGCTTTTCCAGTTTTTCAAGCAATTTCTGTTTTGGCTTTGTTTTTGATTTCCAGCATCCGCAGTCCTTTTTTGTTTAAGAAAGCTAATGGAATGCTGGCCTTGATATTTAGAAGACTGGAGTACAAGGATGCAGAAGTTATGCTGCAGTTATACAAAATCCTGGTTAAACCTCAGTTGGAGTGCTGTGAGCAGATCTGGACACCACAGCGTAGGAAGGATATATTGGCCTTGGTAGGAGTAGAGTGTAGGTTTACAAGGACGGGGGTTAAGTTACGAGAAGAGAATATATAAATTAGAAATTGTTTTCTGTAGAATTTAGAAAATTATGGAGTGATCTGATCAAAGTCTTCAAGATATTAACAGAAAAGACGGGGTAGATAAAGATAAACTGTTTCCACTGGTTGGGGATTCTAGAACTACGAGCATGGTCTGAGAATTAGGGCCGGATCATTCAGGAGAGATGTTAGAAGCACTTCTACAGACAGAGTGGTAGATGTTTGGAACTCTTTCCACAAATGGCAGTGGGTGCTAGATCAGTTGTTAATTATTTAAATCTGAGAGAGATAAATATTTTGTTAAAGCAAAGACATTAAGGGATATAGTGCAAAGGCAGTTACATGGAGTTGGGCAACAGATCACAGTTTCATTGAATGGTGTAACAGGCTTGAGGGGCTGAATAATCTACTCCTGTTCTGTGTCCTTAACAAAATCCAGATATATATGGAACATATAATGTATATACCACTGTTTAACATATTGGTGTGTCTTTATAGATGTTTGTTAGTACAAGTATTATAAGTATTGCTGAAGAAAAAGATACATTTAGTCAAAGCTTTTCACCTTGTACTCATCAAGACAGTTCACGGTGCAACGACTCCTTCGTTCAGTAGACTTGCCAACCACTCCACAGTCTCACATTTATGGATGCGTTTTCCTTAACTTTTCTATTTGGTATTCTTGTGAATTGACCTGGTGAGTGTGAGATGCACATCTTTGTCAAAGTATGTTTTTATATCAGCTACATTCAAATCTGTACACATGCCCTGTTCTGTTTGTCTTAGTGTTTTCTACTGTATGTATAATTTGTATTTGAAAAACTGCAGAAGCTATCCAAAGGAAAATGATTGATTGTATTTCTGCAGGACAAGGCTTTCATCATGAACAATGGAAGTAATTTGTCAGTAAGTAGTAGAAATCTGGTGACCCTTCAGTCTTCTGGTATACCCTCGTTCACCCTCCTTCCCAGAATCCACAGGTTATTAAGATGTAATTAGTTGCCACAATAGAAGGCAGGATCCAAGTATACCTCCAAAATACTAGGTATGAGGGGAACAAAGCACTGCAGTTTGCTTGGCTGGAGTTAACTGTGTTGTTTAATTATAGGCCTTAATTTCCTTCCCTACCTCCGTTAGAATGAAAAGAATGTTAATGGTGTATTTGTTTGTCTTGCAGCTTTCTAGACAGGATTGATATAGTCAAACAAAATGACTACATACCTCCAGACCAGGTAAGCAGATTTATTATTCTTTCCATGCTGATTTTAAGTCCTTCATCATAATGTGCATCATTTTCTGGCTGAGGTAGAACTGTTGAAATTACTTTGGGCCCACATCCTGGTACTTGATATTTTGTTTATTTTTATTTTTCTGTATGCTGTTCTTTTTCTACAAGTTACAATAAAATTAATTTTGACTGTGATCAGCTCAAATTTCCTTTTTTTTGAAATGGATCCGTTGGAACAGCGACTTTATTAGTTTTCCATGTTGAAAGGTCTGAAATGCAATAAGCAAAAAGCTTTTAAACATGGGATTGTATGTGCTTTCAACTGTGGCAGCACATAAGCTGCTTTTATGCTAGTCTTCAGTTTGAATTCCAAGAGGCCAGCTCCATGATCCTGGAACCAGGCTTCTAGACCCACAAGTCTGAGTCTGCCACCTGAATAAATGAGCCAAGTTTAGCAGCAGAAAAATTGGGAGCCAAATCTTTAGGCATTAGGTCTTTGGAGTCTGAATTAAAACCGTTCTTGTATGCAAATTGCTATCGACCTTTCTCTAACCCTCCAGGATTTCATTTGAGCTGAAAGTCAGAGTCTGTTCTCATTCACAAACTACAAGAAAAAGCAATACAACTATAAAAGCAGACGCTGGAAATCTGAAATTGAAGCAGAAAATGCTGGAGAAACTCAGCAGGTCTGGCAGTTTCTGATGTAAGAATAGGGTTTGTGTCCTTTGATCAAAACTGGGAAAATTAGAAATGTGATAGTTTTTAGCATGTGGAAGTCAGGAGGGTGGAAATGAGTTAGGTCTGAGTGTGGAGGACAGGCAAGATTAAACAACTAAAGAGTTTAGAGTTCAAAGCCATAAATTTGTAACCTCTGCCATCATTTTATTTCCTTTTTCGTTGCTGGCTTGTTGTTTATTTCCCCATTTGTTTCTGTTTTATTTCCTTTGCTTTTGTACGGCAACTGTTCATGATCCTTTCATTCGTACATCATCTAGATAGTCCTTTTGTTGCTTTACCTATCCCATTACCTTGTCCTTTGGATTTCTGTTTTTGTATTTCTCTTCACCCCCTGCTTTTCAGTGCTGAAATGCTATTACACTTCTGACTTTTCCCTGTTCTGACGGAAGTTCATCAAGCTGAAGAGTTAACACTCTTGTTTTCCAGCTCCACAGATCTGCCAGACTTGCTGAGCATTTCCAGCATGTTTTGCTTTTAAAACAAAGCAGCTGTAGCTTTTATACACTGACGCAGAACAAAGTACATCAAAATTCTCAGGAATCTAAACCATAATTCCATGGGTTTTATAATTGAGCAAAGAGCCCAGTGGTTCATATTTTGATGAGATTTTAGTACTTTTGAATTAATTTAAGCCCAAAATTTTCAAAACAGTTGGGTGGAGGGGTGTCACAGAGGCTGGTTTAATGCAGCGGTCTTGGAATCATCTCTTCCAGTCAGACAGTAACTTTTGAATATTGACACATTGCACAGATACATTTTCCATAGGACTGTACAAACAAGCACTTGTATGTTTAAAACGGAGCAAGTGCTCAATAAATTCAATGTAACCCCATGGAACAGCACTTAGAATATAAATAGTTATGTAAAACAGAGGTGCCTTTAACAGAAACACAGTCATCCCTTTGTCGTTGAGAATTGCCTGGTGATTGTTAATGGATCAAACATCAGACCGCTTGATAACCAGCCAGAATCCTGCCATAAGGCATGCTGGGGAGTTGTATTCAGTCAATGAAGCTTATGGCTCCCTTGCTGCCAACATGGTCTCCAATCTTGCAACCCCAAAATTTCATCTATTTAGGAGCCCCTTACACCATTGACACACGATGCAGTGTAGTTAAAATTGTAAAAGCAAGCATTCATTGAATGTACAGGTTATGTAGTATATTATGCTGTCTTTTCATCTCAATGACCAGGATTCAAATCATGGGCCAATGGGAAGGAAGTATTTTCTGTCTGATGGGTGGACTATAAGTGTCCTATTTTATATATGTGGTCAGTCTCATTTAAATTCCTGCCATCCATGGACCCACAGCACGTCTTTACATGTAACTTGGCATTCAGTCAGAAATCCTAATTGTGTAGGAAATAAACTCCATTCACACTGGTGTAGTTGAAAGATACTATTGTGAGTTATATTTCTACTTTGTACGTTAATTGTATTTATGACATTGTATGGTGTTAGCTATTCTGCATCTAGCAGCATTATATGGGAAGTACCTAAAGCAATGGCTGTATTGTGAAAGTATTCTGTTTCCAAGCATGGACATCTCTTCCTACTGTACACATCATTTTCAACAACAAACTATTCTTTCTTGAAAGCCCAAGTTGTCATTTAGTTCAGTGAGTATTGTTGCATTTTTAACAAGTATGATGCATTTTGTTTCAAGTTGAATTCAGCCACAGTTTCAGTGTGAAGCTGAGTTTGCTATTTATCACTCACTTTCAAATACCAAGTCCCAGGATATTTCAAAACAGAGACCATCCATGCTATCAATTCTGCTCTCCAGATTTTTTCTATATTAATTATCTAATCTAATCTCACTCTCTAACATGCTGTCCCTATCTTCTAGCATTCTTTCAATCAAATGAGCTAATCCTTTTAAGATTTGTCCTAACAATAGTTAGCAGCAGAGAATCCTGTTTGTTCTATTTCACAGAAATGTTTTTACTAACCACCCCCCTCTCAGTTTTTGAGATTGTTAAACTTGGCTCTTCCGTCGTTATTTCACCGACAAACAGAATTCCAATACCTGTATTACTATTCAGCTTGTGATTAATCTTTACAATCGAGTGGGTCTACCCTTCAGCCTTAGCAGTACCATTGAAATAAGCCCTAATGTTCCAAGGCTTAATCTAGGTCCTCATCACTAGGAATATCCCAGTGAATATGGTCATCACTGGCAAAGCCAGTATTGATTTTCCATTTCTAATTGCCTTTGAGAAGGTGGGGTGAGTTGTTGTCTCAAATTACAGCGTTGCTGTACATTGTTAAATCAGTAGTTCCAGGTCACTGAGTCAGTGATGATGAAGGGCTTGTGGTATATTTTCTTGTCAGAATGTTTTGTGACTCTGAGATGGATGTGACTGCATATACCTGCTGTTCTTCTCCTGGTTGGTAGATGTTGCCTGTTTTGGAAATAATGAAAAAAACCCTGGCAAGTTGCCAACGTACATTTTGTCGGTGATGCACGCTACTGTGACAATATACTGTGCTGGATGACATTGGAATTTAAGCTGTTGGATGGCCAAGCAAGTTGATGGATTTGAGCACTGTGTTGAAATTATACTCAGTCAGGCAATTTAAGGGTATTCCTGCCTGATGCGCCCTTGTGCCTTGCATATGCTGAAAGGGCTTTGAGCATTCAAAAAGTGAGTCACTTGCCTCAGAATATTCATACAAATTATGCGAAGAAGAAAGCCATTCTGCCCTTTACATGTGTTTACATGTTTCGACCGAGTCGCCACTTGCTCTTCTAAACTCCAGCAAATGCAAGCTTAGTGTGTCCAGTCATTCTGTGACAACCTGGCAATTCCAGTTATTTGTCCGATAAACTTTCTTTGACTACTTACAATTCACTTGCACCCTTCCTTTAAAAAAAGAAACCAATTACTGTAAACGGTATTCTGGATGTTATAACAGTGCCCTGTATAATTAAACCATAACCTGCCGACATTTGTACTCAGTGCCCCTTGCTATAAAAACGTCATCAGTACTTTTCTAATTACTTGCTGTATCTACATCCCAGTCTTTTGTGATTCATGCATGCAGGCCCAGATCACTCTGCACTTCCATAATTCTGTAATCTCTCACCATTTAGATAATATGCTTTTTATTTTGTGGTAAGAGGTGAAAGCAGATTTGTAAGAAAGAAGCACAGTGCCTGAAAGGAACAGACCATGCCAGCTAATATGGAGATTGAGGAACAGAAATTGAGTGATCAAGAGTTTTGTGGGAATTGAGTCGAAGGAGCAGTAGGCATGTCTCATAGGAAAGAAAATCTCCGGACACAAAGAGCAATAGAAAAGAACTCTAGAACAATGCAAACATAGGCTTTTGTTGGGGAGGAGCCTTACCGGAACTGTGGTTTGGTGGGCTTGCAGGAGTGTGGACAGCTCCACAGATGCTGATTAGATAAGATGGTCTTGATATTAGTGACAGAATAATATCCATGAACTTATGTTTAGTGTTGGAGGTGGAGATGGATGGGAGAAAAGTTTTAAAAGATGATTTAAAGTTGTTATTCTGTTCTAAATGATACTGGAATAGTGAGCCCTTTCAGCAAATGAAAGCAGGGTCCAAAAACACTTTGTGGGCCAGCCAGAAGGAGAGATAAATTGCTAAACCGATTCTCCAATCTATCCTTTCCAGTATGCATCAGAACAGAAGTTTTGTTTTAAAAGTCCTTGTATTTAGTTATGCTTAATGTCTGAGTTTTATTATATCTTGCTGTCTCAGTTTTGTTTCTTATTCTTTTGTAATGTCTGATCCTTTAGGTCATATCTCTATGCCAGTGAGTGATCTAATTATGTTTGACTATGTGTGTCTTAGAGCAGAGAGTGATCACTTAAATGCAATAGTTCCTGGATATTTTTAAAAACTGTTATTAAATTAATTGATATGTTGACAGTGCATCAAGACTCAAAGTATTACTAATTATCCTTTCCATTGATCTGTACAGTACAACCTGTTACTCTTTCCGATTTAAGCATTCTCTTTTCCTTTTGAAGGATCTTCTGCGATGCAGAGTTTTGACATCGGGAATTTTTGAGACGAGGTTTCAAGTTGAAAAAGTAAACTTTCAGTGAGTATTTCTGAGTTGGTGGTTTGTTTGTTGTAATGATACGTACGAAAGTGACTTTTGTTTTGATATGTGAATAGTCTTAAAAGGTACTGCTGAAGACATTGTGTTTTCACATCATGGGGAGCTGATGAACAGACACCGGGAAAGGAAGCTTAGCATGTCATCCTGAAGCTTTTTGTACTCCACGTTTTGCCCAAGAGTTGTTGGCAAGTGTCTAGAAACAGGCTACGTATTAAGAAGGGAACAAAAGCATGATACAAGTATATCAGTACAGGTCAAGTGAGAGTTAAGAGAAAACATGGGTAAATTTGTCACAATGTACCAATTTGTGAATTTTAGTTTACTGTTAATCCCAGTGTTCTCCCTTGCAACCGAAAGCTCATTTCTTACAATTAAAACAATGTCTTCTGACACCCGCACACCGCCCCCCCCCCCCCCGCCCCCGCCATCTAAAATTTATGGTATAGTTGCTGCAAGAGCAAATATTAAATGCAACTTATAACTGGTTGTGAATCCCTACTTTATATCAAAGTCTATTGGTTGCACCCATTTAAATAGCCCTTTATTCATTCAACTAATAAAAGCTTCAGTTCTTCAATATTTTATTTTTTCCTAAAGGTAGTTAATCTGTTGAATCATAGAGGACTGTCAAAATCATGTCGTTAAATATATTTAAGGCTAAGATAGAAGACTTCTATCAGTAAGGGAGTTTTGGGTTATGGAAATAAGGCAGGAAAATGGAGTTGAGGCCTATCTGAGCAGCCATGATCTTATTGAATGGCAGAGCCGATTTGATGGATGAAATGGCCTACTTCTGCTCCTAAATCTTATAGTATTATGGACCACTTTTCTAATTGTTTTTGCCAAGTCATAGCTAAAGGTATGGAACAACTTAAGATGCATAACTCGTTGTGTGCCTTGTGATCCAGCCAAGTAAAGTGGGTTGTCAGTATCGAATGTGAAATAACCCATGCATTAACCAAACTTTTACACACAACCTTGAGCTTAAAAAGCTCCTCCTTTTGTCCCTTACCACCTCAATTTAACCACCTCAATTTTTGCTTTTTCATTGCTTCTGATTTACAAACTACATTTCACAATCTGGAAAGTAATAACGTTTGCAACTAATTCTTCATCTGGTTTTCAGCCACCATGTCCTTTGATCATCATCCACAGTGCCCACTGTCCTCACTTTGGACAACAAAGTTGAGGAACTTGGCTACAGGGGTGAGGGAAATTTTCCAGATTGATCCCGTACCTTCCCTCTTCACAAATTGGCAGTCGAGTTTATCACTTTTCCCTGTAAACTATATGGTACCTAGGAAATACGCAGTCTCTTGACAGATCACTGCCAACGGTGAGATTGAATCTGTTTACAACCTTGCTGTAACATCTGATCCTGAGATGAGCTTCCAGCCTCCATTACTAAATCCACATATTTCCACTTTTGTAATATTGTCCAATGTTTCTGCATTTTAGGCTAAATTCTGACACACTTGTGCATACGTTTTGTTACCTCTAGATTCAACTAGTCCATTCATCCCTGGCTCGTCTCCCACTTTCTAACTTACAGAAATTTGGGATTCTTAAAAACTCTGCTCATGTCTCAACTTGAAGAAAAACCCACTTCCCTATCACTGTTGGGCTCATTAATCTACATTCGTGCCAATTCAAATAGCACCTTGAGCTTAAAAATCACACCCTTGTTTTCAGATTGCTCCATTGCCTTGTTGCCTTATCCTCTTCAGACCAACGAACCTCCAAAATATGTGTCCCTCTAATTCTTGCCTCTATGCATCTCCAGTTTTCATGGCCACACAGTTGGTGGTTGTGGCCTTCAGTTGTCCAGGCCCCAAGCTCTCAAATATTCTACGTGTACCTGTCTACCTCACTTTATTCCTTTTAAGAAATCCTTTAAAACAATCTCTATGACCAAGCATTTCGTCATCTGACTTAATATCTGCTATGTGGTTCAGGGTTGCACTTTGTTTTAACATGTTCATGTGAAGCACCTTGGGACTTGGTAATGGGCTGGACCAGCTGGTCCTTTCCAAAAAGATTTTGTACATTCCCATGTTGGTGTTCATTGCATCAGTTCCTTTTGCTGACTCCCAGTGCAGTCATCCTTTATGCGTTCTTTTCTTTAGCACCAATGTGATTTTATTCTTCTTCTAAACCCATCATTTTCATTGATCACAAAACTATTTAGACATCATTCCTGGCCTTACTAATGTCACCAGTTAATTTGAGGTTAATTAAAGACAACCTTATGGTGCAATATTACAACAATATGTTAGATTAATGCTTATCATAGACCTTTTCATAAGTTATCGCCATGCGTGTTGAATTTTTGTAACTAATGGATCAGATTTATTCACTAGCAAAAGAAAGATGACTTAAAAACTTTAACAAGTGTGAAACAGGATAAACCAAAAAATAAAGAAACAAAGTCCCCAGGTAGTATCTTTATCAGGGTTTTAGCAGTTGATTTGTGAGGGCTTGGAAGCTGCAGGTTGACCATTCATCAAAGGTAGAGGGAAAATAAATTTGTAGTGCTGCAATATTCAAATTTTAAACCATGACAGTAGAAGGAGGGCAGTTTTAGTTTGGAAAAAGGCAAATGTAAATTTGATGTGGAGAAGCCTTCCTGTTACATAATCAGTGGCTGGAATGACTTACTTGAAATGGGTAATGAGACAAACCCTTTTGATTGTCAGAGACTTCAAAATTGTAGGGTTTTTCTGAACAGATCTACCGATTTTGGTTTGCATGACACAAGTCGTAGGAGCAGCAATGAGCTGTTTGAGCCTGTTCTGCTTTTCTGTGCAATCATGTCTGATCTGATTGTGGCACAATTCTGCTATTTGCTGTGATCAGTTTTGTTGAATCAGGAAATTGCTTCCTTTTTCCAATGGTCTGAAGAAAACATTGTATGGATTCTCGGAGGTCATAAGCTACTATTGGACCTGCAGTAAGTGTCTCTGTATATCAAGGCTGTTATATGTTGCTTCTTGGCAAATCCATAGTCAAACAATTGCTAGTTATTTAGAAACAGATCATGTAATCTCTGGTACTTTTCTGAAGTTGAATTAAATCATAGCTGATCAGTATCTTTACAGTTTACCTGCCTTGGTTCCCTCAATAGCTGCAATAAGCAAAAAAAAAAAAAATCAACCTCTGCTTTTGAGATTGCCAGCTTCAGCAGTTTGTGAGAAAGAAAGACAAGTTCAGGTTTAAAGTCATTCTACCTGTTTAACTTATTGGCATGTCATGTCAGATTTTTGTTGATATTTGTAAAGTGGCTGTGTGATTTGCAGTGCATTAGTTTTTTATTTATTTATTTATTTATTTATTCATTCATTCATTGGCTGTAGATGTCACTGGTTGGATCAGTATTTGTCACCTGTCCTGAGTTGACCTTGAGAAGGTGGTGGTGAGCAGTCCATATGCTGCTGTAGGTAGACCCACATGCTGTTAGGGAAAGAAGTCCAGAATTTTGACAGTGAAGGAACAGTAGTATATTCCAAATTCAGGATGGTGAGAGGCTTGGAGGGGAACCTGCAGGTGGTGATGTTCCCAAGTATCTGCTGGTCCTTCTAGATGGATATTAATGTGGGTTTTGAAGGTGCTGTCTCGGAACCCTTGTGAATTTGTGCAGTGTATCTTGCTGCCACAGACTGTTGCTTCTGAGTTTTAGTGGTGGACGGAATGGATGTTTGTGGATGTGGTGCCAATTAGTCAGGCTGCTTTGTCGTAACTGGAGTCAAACTTCTTGTTGTGACAACTACACTCATCCAGGCAAGTTGGAAATATTCCATCACACTCCTGATGTGGATTCCTCGCCTCTGAGCTGCTCTTGGAACCACTGTATTTATACAGCTAGTCGCATTCACTTTCTGGTCAGTGGTAACCCAAGCATGTTAACAGTGGGAGATTTAGTGATGGTAACACCATTGAATGTCAAGAGACAATGGTTAGATTTTCCTCTTGATATAGTCACTGCTTGGCATTTGTATAATAAGCATGTTACTTGCCACATTTTAGTCCAAGCCTGGCTATTGTCCAGGTCCTGCTACATTTGGGCATGGAATGCCTCAGTATCTGAGTGAATGCTAATTGTGCTGAATATTGCACAATCAGCAGTGAACATTCCTGCTTCTGACCTTTATGGAGGGAAGGTCAAGGCTCCCTTGATGCCGCACTCGGTCAGGATGCAGCCTTGATGTTAAGATCAGTCACTCTCACGTCACTTCTGGAATTCAACTCTCTGTCCATGTTTGAACCAAGGCTGCAATGAGGTCATGAATTTGTGGCCCTAGCAAAGCCCAAACTGATGTCATTGTACAAGTTACTGTTAAGTGAATACTGCTTAATAGCACTATTAATGGGCCCCTTTTGTCATTTCACTGATGAGAGTCTACATATCTGGACGATTCTGAACCTTGTCAGGTAAATGCCAGTGTTGTTGATGTGTTAGAACAGCTTGACTAGGAGTGTGACAAGTTCTGGAATACAAGTCTTCAGTACCATTGTCAGATTGTTGTCAGGCTCATGACCTTTGCTGTATTCAGGGCCTTCAGACATTTTTGGATATCATGTGGAATGAATAGAGTTGGCTGGCACCTGTGATGCCATTGGGCCTCTGCCAGAGGCTGACATGGATTGTCCATTTGGCACTTGTGGCTGAAGATTGTTGCAAGTGCTTCGCCTTATCTTCTGCTCTGAAGCTTCACTCATCATTGAGGATATTTATGGAGCCACCAGCTCTAGTGAGTTGTTTAATCGTCTGCCACCATTCACCACTGGATGAGAGATCTGAGCTCAGACCTGATCTGTCGTGAGGAAGGGTCACCGGACCCGAAACATTAACTCTGTATTTTCCTTCACAGATGCTGCCAGACCTGCTGAGCTTTTCCAGCAACTTTGTTTTTGATCTGTTGTGAAATCACTTAACTCTATTTATCACTTCCTGCGTATGCTGTTTGGTACACAAGTAGTCTTATTTGGTAGCTTCTCCAGGTTGAAACATCATCTTTAGATCTGCCTCGTTCTACTCCATTGAACTAGGATTGATTTCCCTGTCTTAATGATAATGGTTGAGTGGTGGATATGCTGGGCCACGAGGTTGTGTTGGAATATGATTCTGCTGCTGCTGATGGCCCATTGCACCTCATGCAAGATGTGTTTTGAGTCTGTCCCAATCAACACAATGATACTGCCGCACATGCACAGTGTAAGATATTATCAAAACGAAGGCAGGATTTTGTCTCCATGAGAACTGTATGATGGTCACTTACTGTCATAAAAAGGTGTATCTGTGACTGTGTTGAGGATAAGGTCAAGTGAATTTTTCCGTCTTGGTTTCCTCGCAACCTGCCGCAGACCCAGTCTAATAGTTATGTCCTTTAGGACCTGACCAGCTTGATCAGTAGTGCTGCTGCCCAACCATTCATGATGATGGACATTGAAGTCCAGAGTACATTCTGCACCCTTGCCACTCAGGAGGTCTTCAACACGGAGGAATACTGATTCATCAGCTGAGGGAGGACTGAATATGGTAATCATGTCCAGAGTCAATGCTAACTACTCCCAGGGCAACTCTCCTGACTGTATATCACCTCTGCTGCATCTGTCCTGCCAGTAGAATAGGACATACCTGAGGATGGTGATGGTGTTGTCTTGGGCATTCTATATGTCAGGTATGACTCAGAGTAAAACTATCAGCCTGTTGCTTGACTAGTTTGAGAGACAGCTCTCCCAATTTTGGCATAAGCCTCCGGTTGTTAGTAAGGTAAACTTTGCAAGGTCAACAGGGCTGTGTTTGATTTTGTCATTTCCGGTGCCCAGTTTTTTTTTTGGAGACACATTATCATTTGTTACAACTGAGTGGTTTGCTAGGCCATTTCCGAGAGCAATTAAGAGTTGATCTCATTGCTGTCGATTTGGAGTCATGCAGGTCAGATCAGGTAAGGAAAGCAGATTTCCTTCTCTTAATGGACATGAGTGAACTAGATGGGTTTTCCCAACATAGATTGTGATCATCATTAGACTCTTGATTCCAAATTTTTATTGAATTCCATTTCCATGATCTGCCATACCAGAGTTCAAATCCGGCTCCCCAGAATATTACCTTGGTCTCCCGGATTAATAGTCCAGCAATGATGCCACTCGGCCATTGACTTTCCAGTTTTCAAGTTTGTGCCGCAAAGTTCAGAACTTGCATGAAGTTTGTTTTTTTTTTTAGCTGAAGGTCAATAGAACCAGACCAACTAATCAAATATCCCAAAATCTAAACATTGGTGGGTTTGTAGTGGGATTGTGGAGGTAGCTTTCAACATCTTTCAGCAGTATTTACCCATCTCATCAATTCAGCTATGTAGAGCAAAACCTAAAGAAATTTATTGGAAGCTGGAAATATCAGTTGATGCAGAAGCTGTGTTACATGAGATAACATCTCTCAATCAAACTTATGTCATAATATGGGTAAGTAGGGCCATTTGAGTGTTAACTAAAGATGGAATGCCCCTGATTGAGCTTTTCTTTTCAAAATATTGCTTCTGTGTAATTTAATACAGTTTGTTGCAATTATTTGCAAACAAGTTGCATTGTTCCTAAAATGTTTTATTTCAATTTATGAATCTTTGAATAAGACCTAACCTTGGCACATACATATTGAGAGTTGTGGGAAATGGGGCAGCTTTTTAAAGTGTTCAACACAATTTGGCAGTATACTTCCTTATTCCAAATGGCTACAAGTTTCATTTTGTGAGAATGTGGAAAAGAGATGCCAGCAGTAAGAGCAAGGTGAAACTTCAAGGAATTTTAATGTACAGAAAAGTCATATATGTGTCAAATCATGTGAAGATTGACCGTTTTGTTTGAAGAATGTGAAGAACAATCTATAATGGGTAGCTAACATTTCTCAATAAAAACCAAAAGAACTGCAGATGCTGTAAATCAGGAACAAAAACAAAGTTGATGGAAAAGCTCAGCAGGTCTGGCAGCATCTGTGAAGGAGAAAACAGAGTTAACGTTTCGGGTCCGGTGACCCTTCCTCAGA